ACTCTATACGATCTTATGTGGAAGTCACTGACTCATCATATCGTAACAATTAACAATATGATACTAAGTATTTCTGAAGAACACATTTAGGCTGGGGACAGGATAATATATTTAAGGCAAATAAAGACAAGTCATAGAGAGTGGCCATGTTTGCGAGATTGAGCCATGATATCCGGTTGATAGAATGAATATTCTCGCGTTCACCACTGTTGGCCTTCTCTCTGTGTTAAATGTTGAATGTCTATTTTCCGGTTATTTCCTGTTCAGCTTTGAGGATTATGTGGCTAGGACCAATAAAACTACAAATGGGCTCCATAATCCATAGACAGATTAAACAGTTTTAAACAGCAATCGAAATTCTCTACTACAGTATTCCGCAAATGATATAGGAATCTCTTCAGGTCCACCGTCATAAAACTTTAGCAAGGCAGATATGGCCTACTTGGTGTTGGTGGATGCGAAATCAATCGTGGATAGATTCTTAGGTGTCAACATTGGAAGCCTAATGATAGACGTTACAGTTTTTGTGTTACAGCATCACGAGAAATGGTGGTTGAATTGTTCACATGTGGTATCAAGTTTGTCCACAAAATTGCCATTAAATAAGAAGAATCTGATTGTATTTAGAGAATTTGGTTTCAAGAGAGATTTGGGAGGCCGACGTTGTGATAAGTTTGAGTTTTTGCCACACCAAGACTTGTTCTCCATAGTCGTAAGATACTTGAAATAAGATGATTCATTACTGTCAACCAATGTGAGTATGCTCTGAAGCGTATATACGTCATGGTGTTTGTTGTAGCGTGCCTCAATATTTTGAGCTTTATCCTAAAAGTATAATGTGTTTATTGGACCTTATTATCATCATAACTCACATGGTTGACAAATGGAGCAGTGCAGTTAAGGCAATACGTCAGAATATGGTATAAGTCGGAAAACTCGGTGTCAATGTTACTTGTGGTTAAATTTTATTCCCGTCGTAACACTGTATAAGAGTTTCAGCGCGCTTCCGTGTTTGTTGATTAAACTACATGCTCTGGTACATTTTTGTGGCCTTAGAGTCCTATGATATAATATGAGTAATACTCAGTGTGACTCTGTGACCACTCAAAACATTCATGACATTCCTGCATTGAATTAGGGTCGATGTTGATTGCAAATATTAAATCAAGTATATTATTCCTCCTAGCTGCCTTTCAGACTTGTTGGAATAATCCTAATATTCTGTTGGTTTAACTAACTTGTTATATGGTCCTAATACCGAGTTCGAATTTTGTGTGATGTTCAGTAGATCAAAATCACCTCCGATGATTTTAAACGAATGCGGTTGGTGCGAAACAATGAAAATCATGTTTGCTAACAGTTTGTCGAGGTTGATATCCGCATGGGGTGGTTTGTATATACATCCCATCAGTAGGTAGCTTTGCGATTCACAATTTAAGGTAACTGTCGTCATCTAAAACATTAAAACATTCATTTTTAAACTTACACGCCTAAATGTTCAGACGGACATAGATAGTTGTACCACCTCCTATTCCATAGCGCCTATCGGATCAAAGGAAAACGTAGTTATCCACGTGTAAGGAGTGATCAGACATAGATCGTCTGCACCACGTTCCTGTAGTATTAATATAATGCTTGGATTTACAAGGAACAAAGGAGTTTGAAGATGACTAACTTTATTGGAGAGAGAGTGGGCATTGAATGAAAGAAGAAAGTCACAGTATAGATCACAGGTAGTATTTCCATGAATACTCATGGGATTGGGTACGGTAAGAATTGTGTTGTGAGAGAGATTAGATCCAACAATTTTGCCATCACCTGTATTACGTTTACCGCTTCCGGTAGAGAGGCTGGTGGAACCTCAGAAATGTCACCTGATTGTTATTGACTTTAACATATGATGGAGTTGTAGTTTTATTGATTCTAACTTCATGATACTCGAAACTGAAAATATTTTATTTGGGGAAATTCATATTCAACATCTAAAACGGAGAGAAAGTCAGCAATGGTGAACGCGGAAACAATTAATCGAAATGGCATGTTCCCGTCATGTGTGCTTGATCACTCTCCGTAACCTCTTGCTTTTTGCATTGAACATATTACTCTCTTTCCAGCTCAAATGAGTTCTTTAGAAGTGCTGGACGTCATATCGCTGACTGTCACGACAGGACGAGTTAGTGTAGACTATGATTTGACTTACGCATAAGATCTTATAGGTTATGTGGTGACATCAGGACAAATTTACAACCGTCGAACTTCAGTATCAAACAATCAAAATGAGTGGGATTGCACGGGTAGCTGCCCTCTGTACTTTTCCTAGGATATCCAAGTCACCTTTTAAACAGGGGCCTACAGCCTGAACACATTTCTAAAGCTTAGTTCTCACTAAGAATGTGTATACTGTGGTGAACATGGAAGTATCTAACTTAGTGAATGTCCGTTTTAAGGCCCAGAGGGTTAGAAATCTTTTAGCTTCGACCTCTCGGCAATGGGACGTCGTCTTAAGACCATGACTCATTGTCACCTCGAGATCTTTATGAGATCAGACCACGGGTAGTGGCACTTCCCCTATATTGTATGAATCTGAATCTGTTCCTCCTAGTTCCGCAATATAATCGTAGTTTCATGCATCTCCACTGAATTGTGTCATCTTTTATCTTCGGTGTTTTCACAACTAGAAGCGCGTGAAAACATACCCTTCTGCAAATAGTTATGCTATCAGACACTCGCCGTTGGTCAGAGAAGTTTGTTATCAAGTACGCTACGCTTTAAAAGATATTAAACCTTTTATAGACATCCCTGGCATGATGTTGTCAGTTCTGTACAATTTAAATATCCCAACCCATACAATCCAAATGTACTAAACATAGATGTTATCAATCGTCAAGTCGACCTTACCGGTGGTGCTATGCTCAGTTGCAAGCTGATTAACTCTTCATGGCCCATGTTTCATATGGGTCAGTCTTCAGTAATAAGGATAGGAGGTCTGTCGACCTATATTAATCCTTGTAGTTTGTAATACTGTGGAGGTCCAATCTCGTTTTGAATATATTAACAGACGGTGCTGATATTATGTGTTCCGGTAGAGAATTCCAGTAATTCACTACTCGGTGCGAGAAACGGAACTCCAGACGTAAACGGTTTGATCTCGGTTTTTGAACTTTCTTCGAATGTCCTCTCAAATGATCGGTTCTAGACGGAAGCAAAAGATGAGACATGTTAATACCAAGGTCATCGTTCAGTATACGATAAGCCAATATTAGATCACCCCGTACTCTACGGTAAGATAACGGAAATAAGTTAAGGTGAATCAGTCTGTCTTCATAAGATAGGCCAGATAGACCTTGTACCATCTTAGTAGCTCGTCGTTGGACTCTTTCTAGCATATCTGCTTCATATTTGAAACAAGGACTCGCTGCTTGAATCCCGTATTCTAAATGTGGTCGCACATAAATCGGGTACAGTAATCCAAACATTTCATCATCTAAATACTGAAAAGACCTACGAATTGACCATAATACCCTATAGCCTTTTGCAGCAGCAGCCTTGCAGTGACTAGTCGTTTTGAGATCATTGCTTAATATAACTCCTAAGTCTTTATAGTGTCTTGCTTTGGGTAGCACGAATCCACGTAGTGTATAGTCATACGATTCATCAGAGTTATTTAACTGCATCACTACACTCTTATTAGGATTTATTTCTAGTGACTACCTATCTAACCATGCCACCAATGAGCTAAGATCATACTGTAATTCTATTCTATCCGACATACTATGTATGGGTCTCCAAATCTTTATGTCATCAGCGAAGAGTAGAACGGATGATTTTGCTACAGTTGGCAATTCATTTACATAAAGTAAAAAGAGAAGAGGACCTAGGATTGTGCCTTGGGGAACCCCACTTTTTACAGGTACCCTCGAGGAGAGAGCCCCATTAACCCTTACCCTTTGTCTCCTGTCATGGAGAAAGTTACTTATCCAATCGACGACTGTGTTGTGGATTCCAAAACGTTTCAGTTTGAATTTAAGACCAGAGTGTGAAACCTTATCAAAGGCTTTACTTAGATCTAGGAAAATTACATCCACAGGAGCATTCCGATCCTTTGCCGCAGCCCACTCTTCTCGTGCAATGAGAAGATTTGTCAAGCAAGATAGGCCTTTCCGAAGACCATGTTGTGCCCTGGAGAAAAGATTTTGCCCTTCAACATAGTTTATAACAGCTATCCGAATGATTTTCTCCATCAGTTTCACAACCGCACTAGTTAAGCTAACGGGTCTATAGTTACTAACTAATTCCCTACTCCCAGGCTTATACACCGGACTTATTATAGCGTCTTTCCAGTCTCTAGGATGTCTGGACTGTCTCAGAGACATGTCGAATAGTATCGCTAATGGTTCAGCAATTTCATCTGATATGGCTTTCATAATCCTAGGATGAATATCATCGGGACCACCGGACTTATCAGGTTTGAGATGCTGAAGTAGCCTTAAAACAGTATCTTTCTCAATGAATACAGGATCCATCAGCGAGCCGTCACGCTCACGATGAATCATTGGTCGTTCCTCATTACCGATAGAAAACACGTTACTAAAATATTCAGATAAAGCTTCAGCTTTTTCGGCATCATTCTCTGCTAAGATTAACGGATTGTCTCGTATCAAAAGTGATGGAATTCCATCGCTTCTCTCAGTTCGCATTTTATATACGAGAATAACCGTTTCGGTCTATATCTAGAATCCCTAACCAATTGTTTTTCGTATGAATGTCTAGTCTTGCTTATTAACGCTTTACAGGCATTCCTAATCTTACAATAACTGGATCTGTTTTGTTCTAAGCCAGTAGATATGAACATATTCCAGTGGTCACCTGAAGGCTTAAGAATATAATTGTATTCAAGTTCCAAACAAAACAATGGTTTCTGATACAATAAATATCGACTCCCGAAGTATCATATCGTACTCAGATGAGAAATGGTCCGGGATATATTTTATTTATGGAACATTGATAGGGCCAGATTCAACTACTAGTGGTATTTTCGCTTTGCACCTCGTATTGGTCTAAAAGTTTGCTAAAGGGTTGTTCGATACTTGTGAGGCAAATTAGAATTGTCATATAACATCACTAGTAAATACTGCAACGATGCTGAAATTTTTAAAATTACACTAATATTTATCAATACTTGGCAGAGACGTAGGGTTTATTATTTTATTTGAACACATAAATATTGGTACAAGAGGGCACCAAATATATATGCATATGAGACTACCTAATGACATAATAAAGTTTATTAGACCGGATAATATGTAGTCATAGCTTGTTAACAAATTCCCAAGGTGTACTGATCCTGCAGGTAGACTCTGGAGGATTTGTCCCAAGCTCCTTATTTTGGGGAAACCTTGGGGAATTCTGGGTAAATTTTAGAGTTTTCCCTAAAGTCGTAAAACTTTTGGTAGTTCTCCACGAAGTTGGGCGAAATCTTGGGGATTTTCCTGGGGAAATTTTGGTGTTTTTGTACTTTTCCCCCAAAATATTTTATTGCAGCTCCCTCAGAATTTACGAAAAACGTTTTTCGTTATCTGTACAGATAAGTTTTTTTCGGAAATAGTGAAATCGGGATGAAGGGACTAACAAGGTTGTGTAGTAGTTTCCGTTTCCAAAATGGACTGTTTGTACCATCATAACTATTGTCAGCCACACACGTACGTACGAAGTTCTACGTTGTTACTGACTGACTGCCTGACTGACACACGTATAATAGTTAATGTCTGGGTCAACTTTAGGTCATTCATTTAAAAAGTATTTTGCAAACTCCAGAATAGTCTTGAAACTACTAACTTTTGACACATGTAAATGACCTACTTGTTGTGTTAATGTCACTGCAGTGACATTGAAGTCATGGCATTATTGTATGTCAACTGTTTTGAAATGTATAGTGATACAAATGCCCTGGTACGACCGAGGGTGGGGAAAGTCCACTCCCTCTCGAAATGCTCTCATATGGCCACGCGTATATAGCCTCTGCCAGGGAAGTCCTACTCACTGCCTTCTCATGGTGAGGGTGTTGTTTACAAAATTGAGAGGATGAAAAGCGAACGTTCGGCGCCTTAACCGGGTCGGTGGACACGGAGAGTCCACCTAGGGTTTGGAAAACCTTGATTCTAAACCAATGGTTCACATGGGCTCCAATATCCTGAGGAACAAACGGCGTATGAACCGATTGTTGGTCATAGGACTGCATTTCCTTACGTCGCTTCACTGCCTTGTGGATCAGACCTTTAGGTCAAAGGCTTCGGGTGTGGTCCCCTGAGAAAAACACTTGCCTCAATCCGGGCACACGGGTAATATCACAGCCCTCACACAAATCAATGATAACTGCTACTGGTCTCATTTTTACTTTGTGGCGCATATGTATTTGATGCCCTCGTGTACCAATCTTTATGTGTCCAAAATAATGAATAATAATAATACAAAATTCCGGAATGGATGTAATAGCTCTAAAGTCATTCAAACGGTCAAATATAATGAAATATATGTTGGTTCTTATCGACCACCAAATCTAAAATAGATACAGTCATTACGGTTGATTTGTCCACTACACTGGGCCTTGCTGTGGTCTGCTAGGATTAAAGGTCTAAAATCCACTACTCATTTCTGTACAGAGTGTAAGTGGATTTGAGATGCTTTGAGCAATATTTATCGTATTTAGTTATCTAGGTACAAGAGCCTTATGGAGCACTAACTTATATCAGTGGTCACATTTTTAAAGCCTATGTACTGACTAGCTGTAACTAGGTAGCTATTCTTAATGTCATGTGGTTCTAGTTTTGGTATCGTCCCAAAAAGTTGCGGTATTTTCTGTTTTTATGCAGCGTACTTTTCGAGTCATAATTAGGTAAAGCCCATCTCATGTTTAGGGAGTAGTCCACTCTACTTCCATCGAATTATCTCAAAAAAAATGGGCGAAAGGTAAGTATAAGACATATTACCAACTGATACTCGTTGAATAAATAGCCACAACAATTTTGTTGCTCAGTGGCAAACACTATGTTAATGTTTGTCTGGTTAATATTAATTTAAAGACAATGTACTCTAAGCTATAATCTCAGTAGTAATTTCAACATAAAAATATTGGTACATTCATCTAAAGATCTTCAAGTTAGATAAATTATATCTTGGATTCCACTAGTGGCCTCTATCGATTTCAAACAAGATAAGTCTACAGGTAGTATTGAGACATTACTATTGAAATCTTATACAGTAACTAGATGCTAGTTAATTCTTGCGAAGAATCAGTGGTAATAAATTACCCACTCATTTTTTGACGTAATTATTAAGATGAACAAGGATTTAAATGATGAGCATTTCATCAGGACCTATCGTAGGTTTCCTTTTATTCCATGGCTCGTTGAAAGAACAACGAAATAAGGGGATTTTTCTACCAATCACTGTTGCATGCGTTTTCTCAAAGTTTGTTTTAGTTCATGTTGTTAATTGTACTCAAATCTTCAAGGCTTAATGTCTGCGTACCAGCTGGTTTGGGCAGGAATTCAGGCAGTTGGTTGTGTCCGCTTCTAATGTTGTTCAGGCAAATTTTTGGTGTAGATATTTGTTTATATGGTTGCTAAATTATCTGTTCGCTCGTCAACCAAAATGAATGCTGTAGGACAATTCACTATTTCGTATTATCAATCCTAAGACAATACTGGATTTTAAGTGGCAGTAACATTTAAGCATCACTTTCGTGTGATATAACCAATGTATGGGTGATTTCAAAGTTAGGCGTAAGTTTTTCACATGGGAAGTAGTTCATTCGATAGTCATAAACTTGCATCAAATGAATTAGGTGGGACACATTATTTATGCAACTAAATGTTTTATACTTTCTACGTTCCTGATCAGACCTAATGATTGGTGTCTGGTAAAGTATAATTCTTAAGACATAACTGCTGAAAATCTTCATCGTATTAAAGGACGCGATTCCTAAAACGAATCCTAAGAATGATATCTATCCAAGGCTTTTATATCCCACAAACTTCACGATTATTATCGTCAGTCAGTCAGTAACAACGTAGAACTTCGTACGTACGTACATCAGTTCGAGTTGCCACACCACATTAGCACAGAGATGCACTTGTCGATTCAAATCCCGTAGTGGTAGAGGTAATAAGAGTACAAGCAGTAATCGGGAAGATTAGGGTTTGGAGATGTTATTTAAAGAGTATAATCCAGTGAAATAAATTTGGAAAGAGGAAAAAAGGGACATGAAGAATTCAGGAGATTAGAATTTGGGAGAACACAGAGAGTGGATGCACCTGCGCCATTGCAAACGATTTTGAGCCATGTCATTCAGGGTCTCTAACCATCGGTTGCTGTCATCTCGCTTCAACACAATTGCAAATACAGTATAAAAGATTAATAATTTACAACCAAAATCGACATGGAACTTTTTTTAAAACCTCATCGATTCAAAAAAATATTCCTTACACGGCTTTAGTCTTTTGGCGATTTTATCAAGAGCCAGCTTTCAAATGGGGTTGTTTGTATCCTAGATTATCACGTAAATTTGATATACCTGACTGTTCTAATTGAAAACAAGTTCTTTTTTTTAAACTTCCCATAAAAACGGTATTGTCGTCCAACTCTTACCAAATTATTGTTCTTAGTGATTACCCGTATTCCGAAGCTTTTTTCTCTTTTCATTTCCATGCGAGCCTTTGTCCTTTTATTTTAAACGTGGAACCTTCATTTCAACTAATCATCCCTGTTTATCAATTTTAGTCTCATGTTGAATATGTGATGCAATGGATTCATTTTTACGTCATGCAGCTGAAGCCCTTGTGAGTTATTCTTTGTTTGTATTATTGAACACGATAGTTAAATTTCGATTTGATTTAAGATAGTTATTATTGTTCGATATTTTTAGCATTCAAGTTGTAAAAGTAAATGGATTCTTGTTGTTGGAAATGAAGCATGTGATCTAGATAGTACAGCATGTGCACTTGCCTATGGATTTTATAAACAAACGGTAAGTTGAATTACTTATTTCTCTCTTACATATATTTATATAGAAGCTTGAAAATGAGTTCATTGTTATACCTGTATGTAGTATCAATAGAGAGGATATGGTTTTGCGCACTGAAGTTACCTTTTGGCTTACTCAATGTGGTCTCAAATGGGAAGAGTTGATTTATCTGGATGATGTTTTCAATGAAACCTATTCAAAAGTGAATGAAAATGAATTATTTTTAATTCTAGTTGATCATCATTTACCAACGAAAAAGTTTAGTGAATGGCCAACCATTGAAATAATTGATCATCATCAGTTAGTTAATACTGAAACCGTTGAAAATTGTCCTTTTAAGCAAATTGATCTTGTCGGATCCTGTGCCACTCTAATCACATTCGAAATTTTGAAAGGAATGGATGGTAATTATTTACCAAGCAATGTATGGAAGTTGCTTTATGGTACTTTTAAAATGTATATGTACTTAATGTTACATTTTTATAGGTGCCATACTTATTGATACAATCGGACTTTCTAATGCTGGTCAAATGGCTGGACGATTAACAGAATTAGATCTTCGCATGGCTAATCGTATCGAAGATATCATTTACAATCAGATTTTCACTCCAAATGTTTCAAGAAATTCCTTATTTACTCAACTGGAAACAGCAAAATTTACTGTTGATGGTAATATTATTATTAGATTCACTGATCAAATCATTTGATGCAAAGTATTCAGAAAGAATCGTTCAGCATATCTTATAATCAACTAAATAGTATACTTAGCTCTTAGCGGTTAAGTGGACACATGACTGTTTACACTATCGTTATATAGGTTTGTAAATGGTGATAATGATCAGGCCATTAACATAGTTGCTTAAGTCGATAAACCAACTAGGACATTTTGGACTCATTACGATGGGCTTGTTGTGCGATTCTTAATTATAAGAGTTCAGTGCTCAAATACAACAATCAGAAATTATTTCTGTACTTTTTGAAAGTACCAAACTTTTTTTATAGTTCTTAAAATATCAGATAATTTCAAAAGAGTTAAGTTTGCAGATGTTTACAAAAGGAATCTCATGAAGTTAATCTGTTTGATTTTAGACGATAATTTGCTGTTAGTTTTTTGAATACATATTCCACAGTTGGGAGGTATAAACAATGTATTAAAATTTCTTGATACTTTTGTCACGATTATGCACGTCTTAGCTGATATTGACAAACTCGATTTGCAATCAAAAGATCTGATCAAAATAATAGGCATTCAGCACATTTATCTTGTGAGTATATCCTTTATTCGACATATTCTAAATGTTAGATCGAGGGATGTAAATAGATGCCTTGTGTTGATCAAGCTCAATATTTAAGGCTTTCTATTGTATTGACTGATGTTAATAATAATCGGCTTATTCAGTACTTTATGTTTGGTACGATAAGGAGTTCTCATCACACCGTACAAAATACTGGAACGATTTTTTATGTATTTTCATCTTAATTTCAGTAATCGTGTGAATATATATTTATTTATTTTGTTTTAACACATAGATATTGGTACAAGAAGGCATCAAATACATATGCGCCACACAGATCTCATTTGATATATGTGAGGGCCGTAATACTGCACCGGTGCCAAAACCGAGGCAGGTGGTTTTCTCAGGGGACCACACCCGAAGCCTTTGACCTAAAGGTCTGATCCACAAGGCAGTGAAGCGACGTAAGGAAATGCAGTCCTATGACCAACAATCGGTTCATACGCCGTTTGTTCCTCAGGATATTGGAGCCCATGTGAACCATTGGTTTAGAATCAAGGTTTTCCAAACCCTAGGTGGACTCTCCGTGTCCACCGACCCGGTTAAAGCGCCGAACGTTCGCTTTTCATCCTCTCAATTTTGTAAACAACACCCTCACCATGAGAAGGCAGTGAGTAAGACTTCCCTGGCAGAGGCTATATACGCGTGGCCATATGAGAGCATTTCGAGAGGGAGTGGACTTTCCCCACCCTCGGTCGTACCAGGGCATTTGTATCACTATACATTTCAAAACAGTTGACATACAATAATGCCATGACTTCAATGTCACTGCAGTGACATTAACACAACAAGTAGGTCATTTACATGTGTCAAAAGTTAGTAGTTTCAAGACTATTCTGGAGTTTGCAAAATACTTTTTAAATGAATGACCTAAAGTTGACCCAGACATTAACTATTATACGTGTGTCAGTCAGTCAGTAATAACGTAGAACTTCGTACGTACGTGTGTGGCTGACAATAGTTATGATGGTACAAACAGTCCATTTTGGAAACGGAAACTACTACACAACCTTGTTAGTCCCTTCATCCCGATTTCACTATTTCCGAAAAAAACTTATCTGTACAGATAACGAAAAACGTTTTTCGTAAATTCTGAGGGAGCTGCAATAAAATATTTTGGGGGAAAAGTACAAAAACACCAAAATTTCCCCAGGAAAATCCCCAAGATTTCGCCCAACTTCGTGGAGAACTACCAAAAGTTTTACGACTTTAGGGAAAACTCTAAAATTTACCCAGAATTCCCCAAGGTTTCCCCAAAATAAGGAGCTTGGGACAAATCCTCCAGAGTCTACCTGCAGGATCAGTACACCTTGGGAATTTGTTAACAAGCTATGACTACATATTATCCGGTCTAATAAACTTTATTATGTCATTAGGTAGTCTCATATGCATGTATATTTGGTGCCCTCTTGTACCAATATTTATGTGTTCAAATAAAATAATAAACCCTACGTCTCTGCCAAGTATTGATAAATATTAGTGTAATTTTAAAAATTTCAGCATCGTTGCAGTATTTACTAGTGATGTTATATGACAATTCTAATTTGCCTCACAAGTATCGAACAACCCTTTAGCAAACTTTTAGACCAATACGAGGTGCAAAGCGAAAATACCACTAGTAGTTGAATCTGGCCCTATCAATGTTCCATAAATAAAATATATCCCGGACCATTTCTCATCTGAATACTATGTGAGACTATATCGACACGCAGGAAACTGGTTCATGGTGGATAAAATATGGCATAGTAGAGATGTTATCCGTTTTCTGATGCACGACGTAAAAACGTCTGACTAACTGCGGCCACTTGAAATGATGTATTACTTAATTCCTTTTAGTCACATGGCTTTAGTTTTTTAATAATCTAATTTATTCTACTACTTATAACAGAGTGAGATCTGAAGATAAAGGGTTACTTACTTACTTACTCCTGTTACTCCTCGTGAAGGAACATAGGCCGCTCATCAGTATTCCCCATCCAACCCTGTCCTGGGTAATCCTTTCCAGCTCTTTCCAATTGTTATTCATCCTTTCCATATCTGCTTTTATTTCCCGACGTAATGTGTTCTTTGGCCTTCTTCTTTTCCGCCTTCCTTCAGGATTCCAAGTTAGGGCTTGTCTCGTGATGCAGTTTGATGATTTGCTTAATGTATGTCCTATCCATTTCCATTGTTTTCTCCCAATTTCCTCTTCAGCTGGAAGCTGGCTTGTTCTCTCCCACAGAAGGCTGTTGCTGATGGTATCCGGTCAATGGGTGTTGAGTATCTTGCGTAGACAGCTATTTATAAATACTTGTACCTTCTTGATGGTGGTTGTTGTAGTTCTCCAAGTTTCAGCTCCGAACAGTAGAACTAACTGTGTTGACGTTCGCATTGAGGATTCTCACTTTGATATTGTTTGAAAGTTATTTTGAGTTCCATATGTTCTTCAATTGTAGGAATGCGACCCTTGCTTTGTCATGCCTTGAATTTACGTCTGCATCTGAGCCTCGTTGTTCATCGATGATGCTTCCCATGTATGTGAAGGATTCTACATCTTCCAGAGTTTTGCCATCAAGAGTGATTGGATTGCTGTTCTCCGCTTTGAATTTGAGGACCTTGGTTTTCCCTTTGTGTATGCTGAGGCATACTGATGCAGAGACTGCTGCTACACTGGCTGTCTTTATCTGCATTTGTTCATATGTATGTGTTAGGAGGGCCAGGTCATGTGCGAAGTCCAAATCGTCTAATTGATTCCGAGCTGTCCATTGTATGCCGTGTTTTCCCTCAGATGTCGAGGTCTTCATAATCCAGTCGACCACCAGAAGAAAGAGGAAGGGAGAGAGTAGACAGCCTTGTATGACTCCGGTCCTTACTTGGAATGCATCTGTCAGCTTTCCTCCATACACGACCTTGCACTGTAGTCCGTCATATGAGTTCCGGATAATATTGACAATCTTCTCAGGAACTCCGTAGTGTCGAAGAAGTTTCCATAACGTTCTATCCACACTGTCAAATGCTTTTTCATAATCAATGAAGTTGATGTACAGTGACGAGTTCCACTCAATTGATTGTTCAACGATGATCCGTAGTGTTGCAATCTGGTCTGTGCACTACCGATCCTCACGGAATCCAGCCTGTTGATCTTGAAGTTGGGCGACTACTGAATCTTTCATCTGGTTCAGCAACACTGTTAAAGACTCCCTGGTATTGACAGTAGTGTGATGCCTCTGTAGTTTTCACATTTGCTCAGATCTCCTTTCTTTGGCATCTTGACGAGGTGCCCTTCTTTCAAGTTCATCGGTACTTGTTTCTCCTCCCAAATCTTTTTGAATAGAAGGTGAAGCATGTTTGTAGTTACTTCAATGTCTGACTTCAGTGCTTCAGCTGGTATGTTGTCGGGTCCCGCTGCTTTCCCGTTCTTGATTTGTCTGACAGCCATCCTGACTTCTGCCTTCGTTGGTGGGTTGACGTCTATTGGAAGATCTGTGTGTGCTGCTTCGATGTCCGGTGGATTCATTTGAGCCGGCCTATTCAGGAGTTCCTCGAAGTATTCTACCCATCTGTTCCGCTGTTGTTGAATTTCAGTGATTTGCTTGCCTCCTTTGTCTTTGACCGGTCTGTCGGGCTTACTGTATTTCCCTGATAGTTTCTTCGTTGTATCGTAAAGTTGTTTCATATTTCCTTCTCTTGCAGCGTTTTCCGCCGTCGTTGCTAGTTCTTCCACGTATTTCTTGTCGGCTCTAATGTTTTTTTTCACTTGTTTGTTTGCTTCTGCTTGGACTTTCTCTGTTCGTGTTTGGCTGTTGTTAATTGCTGTTGTCTTGTTCTTCCTTTCTTTGATCTTGTCCAGTGTTTCTATAGAGATCCATTCCTTATGATGGTGCTTCTTTAGACCCAGAACCTCTTGATACGTTGAAGTTAATGCTTCTTTGATACTTTTCTAGCTGTCGTCCATAGTAGTTTCTTCTTCCTTCAGTGGATCCTGTAAGGCTTGGAACCTTTTATTGAGAGCTAGTTTGAATTCGTTGAATCTGTCAGTATCTCGAAGGAATGCTGTATTATACTTTTTTAGTGCTGTTTGTCGAGTTGTTCAGTTCTTCTTCAGCTTTAGTTTTAAATTGGCCACAACTAGGTGGTGTGGTGATCTGAAGCTATGTCAGATCCTCTCCTGGTTCTCACATCTTCCATTGTCCTTCCGAATTTTTTATTGATGCAGATATGATCTCTCGAGTTCTCTGTGGTGTGGTGCGGTGAGATCCATGTAGCTTTGTGTATACAATTGTGTGGAAATATTGTGCCACCTATGACCAATTTTTCGAATGCACATAGATTTGCAAATCTTTCTCCATTTTCGTTTCTTTCTCCCAGTACATGTCGTCCCATGATATCTTCATATCCGGTGTTGTCTATTCCAACTTTGGCATTTAGATCTCCCATCAGAATGGTGAGGTCCTTTCTTGGGCACTTCTCTATGATTGACTGCAGCCGCTGGTAGAATTGATCTTTAATGTCGTCGTTGCTATCATTGGTGTATGCATAACATTGGGTAATATTCATTAAGATCCCCTCCTTCTTTGTTTTGAATAATGCTTTGATGATTCTGGATCCGTGAGATTCCCATCCTACAAGTGCATTTCGTGCTACCTTGGACAGCATTAGAGCAACTCCCTGAGTAAGTGGAGCACTTTCCTCTTCGTGACCGGAGTAAAGTAGCATCTCTCCCGTATTTAGCCTTTGTTGTCCAGCTTGGGTCCAATGGGTTTCGCTGATTCCCGGTACTGCCAATTTGTATCTCCTCATTTCCGTTGCTATTTGACTGGTCTTTCCGGTCTCCCACATTGTCTGGACGTCCCATGTACCTATAAAAATTGTCGCGCTGGTTGTTAGAAGGGGCATCGGCCTCGTGGCTTCCGAAGGAACTCGGCTTTCACCATGAGGCGTCATAACTCTTCTAAATGAAGACCTTCTAACTCTTAGGGCAGAGTTAAAATGGTCTGAATAATTTTTTCTGGTAAGCGTTTTTTAGCGAGTCAGTTTTCTACGGGATGGGGACGCTAACCCCATGCCCAACCCTCCCCCTTTACCCGGGCTTGGGACCGGCAGTAACTCTGGAAGAGCTACAGGCGGAGTTGAAAATAAAGGATAGTTCTGTTTTATTTATTGCTGACTAGTACTTGTCAGTTTTATTATGGAATCCTTCTATTTCACACTGATGTCTGAGTGGTATTTTAACTCGTATAAACTCATCCTGTGTGTATTAAACCTCAGAGACTTGTCTTTTTTATGCTTGTATCACAACACTGATTTGTCTTGTTGTATCGTATAATCTAAGCAAATTTGCATTGATAAAATACTTTTGAATTATTAGTTCAATCGTTTTGTCCATTTCATGTTAAACTTAACTAGACTTATTGGGTGAAGATTTGAAAAACTGTAATTTAATGTTTCGTATTGGAATTAAGCCCATATGTATTTAAATTTGTAGCATTAATCAGTAGATGATTGTTCAAGATCATTTAGTCATCATTACTTTTGAAGAGAATATAATTACTACATGGTTATGTGTAAAGTATATAAGGTCTAGTGTTAATATGTTGATGCAATAAAACTTCACAACAAAACACTTTAATAAAAATTAAAACCACTTTTAAATAAATGCAGGAAAATCTCAAAATTTCCCTACATATAAACCGTAGTTACGATTAATTCTATAATTGTTCATTTTTATTTATGAATTATCTTTGTGCAGGGCTATCTACATGGAATTTATTACGTCGTGATATGAAAATTGTTTCTAGTCCAAATAAAGATGCGTTCCAATTTGTGTGCTCTACTGTATCTGGAGTTGATTTTACGGTAAGCTGTGAGTTGAATGACAGTGTTTATTAGTGCCAACTGGTAGTTGTCTATCAGTTTAAGCCTTTTTATGGGTTTACATTTAGAACTGTTACAAAGTATTCTTATCTTTTGAATGATAAACAATAAGCAGTCAGTTTATTTAATTGATGTAAAGCGTATTTTCCATTGGGATTTGGCTCCCACCACTCACGAACATCAGTTACAGAATCATTGAAAACTAAGACATGATACTGGACAGATACCTCTTGTTTGGAACTCTTTAGTAGTCACTTAAAATCATGCCAGGAATTAAACTGACGACTTACGTTTTGCGATAAGCGCAATACGTTTTGGGCCTGTCGTTTTGAGTTTAGTGGTCTACATTTTTAACCACATTCATTTCACAATATTTCATAACCATCTGTCTGCATTCTGATACAAGGATTAAGTTCACTTGACTTAATCAATCAGTTTTCCTTTAAAACTTCGAGAATACTTCTTAAAGCTAGGTCATTAATGGGAACACATCTTGGCAACATAAGCGGTTTGTGGAGATTGTTCATTTCAGAGTTAGTCTTCATCTTGGTCTGGATAAGGACTAGATATGGAATCCCATACTAAAACTAAACATCTGGTCGGTACTTTTTGGTTTCCAATGGTTCATCAATTTTTATCGGTCTGTTTACTTGTTAGAGTCCATTTTACTTTGCATGGTTGCATTAAACTATAGATTTTAATTAAGAGTGGGAGAATTCATAAATCCTGTTTAGTGGATTACAATGCATTGAAAGTCGTCAATAATTGTTTGTGCTCAATAAAGTTTGCTTAAAGTTTGTTAAGTCTCCAAGATTTGTCAATTCTAATTTGAAAGCGGTTTTTTCCTAAATTCTGGGGAAATGCCACTAATGGTGAAATCAAAACATTTTTAGATATAAAATGTTTGGGAAATGACTAAGGACCAATGAGGCAATACGCGACTAAGTTGGTTCAGTTTCCATCTACCTGTTATACTTTCATATGAACAAGAAAGTGCTATATGGAACTTGGAGGTGTATGATATTTGCATCACGTTGGCATTCAATAAATAAGAATAATACTTCGATGTTCAAGTCATTTGACTTCATAATACTGATTTGTATGTTCGAAACATTCTCTGCCTATTTTGATTTGGACAGATAAAGCTTACACTATTTTTCCAGACATTTCGTCAATAATACTCTCAAATAAACTCGTTCTGTTCGTGAAATTTTCTGCTTTATTAATCATAAAGTTTTTATTCAAATTCCCTATTGTAAAGCTAAATTTTAGGCTGTTATTTCTTTCATTAGGTGTTAATTAATTCTCCTGACTTTACTGAAGCAGCCAATCAGATATGTGCTAAATACAATGCCAATTTACTTGTTTGTCTTACTGTTGGTTATCCCTTATCGGAAAGTTCATCGATACCTTCATCGGAGTTGACAACTTTTCGAAGAAGAGCTCTGATTTTGTATAATATGAATTTTCCTGCTGGACGTTATAGTGATGCAAGTATTTACGTTTAGTTTCATCTCATTAATTCTCGTCTGTGTTTATTTGTGGAACTATGTATAGGGAGTTTGTACTTAATGTAATTTATTTTAAACTTACTAAATATAACACTTTAAACCAATATTAGGAAGTATTTCTCATCAGTACTAGGATTATTTTTTATACTCCTACATGTTCTGTTTCATAGGTTTTATTGTGATATATTTATTATTTTTTTACTTTCTACGGAGAGTACTTATCATTCCATCTAAGTGTGAAAACTTATTATTGTTGACTGATTTTCACAGAACTTTTCGACCTTAATACTGAAAATGGGCAAGATAATTTTTTCAGCTGTTTGCCACAGATTTTATGCCCAATAATTTGATGTGTTTAATGTATTGCCGTATTCAACTCCCTTCTATTTTGTTTCAAAGTACTTATTTGAAGAAATTGAATGAAAATAATTAGTGAGTTATTTCTCATTTTTGAAATCTAGTTCACTTTCGTTTACCAAAGTTTCATGCTGTAGGTCATTATTTATACAATCCATGTCAGTCAGTAATGTACTGGAATTTTTTTATGATAAAACCTATTCAAGTCATAAAAGTCTTAATGTAATGACATAATTTGCTAGTCAAGTTTTTACAACCGAATGTCATAGAGAACTAAACAATTCTTATTGTCAATTGCCACATTACATTACTACAATTTCTGTCGCTTCCATTTTCTATAAAGTTTCTTAGGTTAATACTTAAGTTCATTTAGATATTCACGATTAGCTGTCAGTTCAAGGTTATTTTTAAAGTGTAGGGTGTGTAGTCATGTCAGGCTGCTAATTTCAGTAATTCACTGTGTACAAAACTACGAAGAAGCTATTAAATGATTACCACCAATAAAATAACGATAAGGGTTAATTGCTTTTGAATTGTCAAATTGAACTTAAATCTTTTGCACTTAACTCTACTTTTATTAATTATTTATTTTTTCCTATTTACTATAGCTGATTAAATTTCTCCTGAATCCGAAGCTTGATCTAGATTTACTTCCTCAGTCTGTCCCTGATTTCAGTCATTTTATAGCAATTGTGAATAATGTCAGAATGACACGTAAAATCCTACTACCTTTATTAGTACAGTTTCTTCAGCAATTGGGGTCTCCAAGTGATACTGGAACTTCCGATAATAATCCCAAGAATGATATCGACAATAATGATGATTGTAACAATGTTGTTATGGAGTCAGACACAAACAATAATATCTCTTCAACAAATACTAAGAGTTCACATTCATTTGATACAACTCCCAAGGTGGGTCTATTTTTGGTGTAGCCAAATAAACAATTAGTACCCAACCTACTCTTTCCGAAAAAAACCCTGAAGACGTCTTTTGCCTTTGTATTTCAACTTACAGAATTATTTATTCCTTTATCTTACTGATTTGATGTATAGTGATTCAGTGGTTCGATAAAAAGTATTGTTTTTGTACTGGCTTTTATCCTCTGAAAGCTATTTATCAAAAAATAAATATATTAAACTGTGTACTCAAATACATTAAATAATATTTTTATTCATGATCTCAAATGAATGGATATTGTTTGAGTACATAAAATTGAGCAACTTATTAATCACATACGAAATCATACAATGAACTGAAAATCTTACATTATCAATTTAAAAACTGTATTATCTGACTGTCTGACATCTAGTCTATAAAATGTTGGATAGAGTTATGTATGTGAAACGTTAAAGTTTAATTACATACAGAATTATTTCAAGAGATTTGTATATTTTATACAGTCTTTCTCATTTATGGATTTCAATAAAGTCAAGAGCAACGATCTTAATAGAGCAATACAAATGGATTAATTTTGTGGATTTTCTCACGTGCTTACAATCTAGAAATAGTAGTATAAATTATTAAAGTCAAAATATATAAGAATAGTTTTGATTAAATCTGGATTGTAAACAATAATTGTAAAGGAATAAAAAAAAATTGTTCAAATAATTATTTACATATAAGCTAAATATATGAATATAGTTTAGACGAGAAAGCTGAGAAGAGAATGGAAACAGGGTTTTTTCAAATGAAAGATTTATGTCATAGTCTATAAATTATAGTTAACATAAATTCTGACATATGTTACGTTAATCATCCAAAAAATATTACCTTTCGATCGGATGTGAAAATAGTGAATCACTATTGTTTTGAGAACATCATGGTATCCAGATAACATAAATTTCCTTTAAGTGATATAAATGTACGATAGCTAACTATCATAGTTATCTACAATAAGTGTTGGGGGAAACACTTCTAGGACTATTGTTCCATTTCTTTATCAAATGAGTTTTCACTTTGTTGACCAGGGTTTTCATCAAAGTTGGGATAAATTCAGTTTATATTTTTCCTCTCTCTGATCTCATACTTCTTTAAATGAGAAGTATTTAAATCTCCCAATTATTTTAAGGTTGTTAAATACATTAAATTTCTTTAATATTTAATGGCGAAATTTTATTTGTAGATTTACAGAATTAAGATAACATATAGTTTTGTGAGTGTAAGGTTACTTCTGAACTAGGGTTACTTAGAAATAGCTCTTACCAAATGATTCCACGACAATATTCAAAATCAGTGACATGTCTTTTAATGAATTTCATTAACCTAACCGTCTAAGTACACTGTGTGTAAGGTATTTATTCCACAACAAATCAGTCTGTTTTTTTTTACAGAACATCAATGAAACTGTTGTGCTCAGTCATTTCAAATACACTAACAAGAGTTTTATAAACCTATCACAAGATCTGTCAAGTAACTTTAGGTGTGGGCCAATTGTCAGTTTTCTTCAACATTAACTAATATAGTGCATAGTTTGTAAGGAGTATTGATTGTTCATAAAATAGTTATTTATGGACCTAGTTCTTCTAAGATCCTTATCTGCAACCAAATGTCTCAGTATAACTGGCTAAATGAACTCTATCTCAAGCATTTCAGTTGATTCAGTGTTCGTCAAAGGATTCTTTGTGGTGAATATACTGTACTGTGTAAACTATCAAGACTAAACCATTTTTAGTCTAGTCATGTGTCCGCGACATTATTGCATAAGAAAGTTCAGAAGAATAGATTAACAAACTGTTCGAATCAATCGTCGGACTAATTGAGAGGTTACTTTACTCAATCTCTAGCAACCGGATTATCTACAGAATTTTTTTCAGAGCATCATAACACATGTCTCAACCATACTGGCACATGAATGCTTAAAGTCTTATCGATGACACATCTCATTTTCGTCTTAAATTATGCGCCTCACGTCAGGATTACTTCTTTAATGGTTGCCACTAAGTAAGTCTACTTGGTGGAATTCGATAGATTTTTTGGTCTATTCCATTGTGCAAGAACAGTAAAGGATGAGTTCTTAAGTTTGAGGGTTCATTATTCTCAGTTGTCAATTAAGGGAATCAGTTGGCTTTACACTATAACTCGCCAATGTGATTGATTACAACCATAGTTGCTGGTGAGCTGCCAGTTCGAACCGTTAATTATCATTTGGAGCTTGTAGTCGCAAAACTTCGCTGATATTCGAACACAGCTTTCGAGCCGTTTTGATCAAAACCTAAAGATGACAATCAGTGACATTGCTAACGAGTACCAGAGGTTATTAAATCCTCTTGAGTATCTATCATTAAAGCTCATGAAAAAGTTCAACCTGTCTTTAGTTAGCGACAAGTAAGAAAGTAATGGGAGCCAGTCTTGTTCATCGCCGTTGAAGTCGGGGTTACAAATTATTAATTTAATGCACAAACGCATTGCTTTGGGAATATATTTTTAGAAAGTGAAAGTACTTTTATTGACGTCAACATTTTATTTCATTACTGGTTTTCAAAATTATAATGAAAACAGTTGAAATCTGGGTAACAAATTCTGTCCACAATTGAACGATAGGAATTGCGTTCCTTAATAAGTCTCTGGCCATTCGGCATATGTATACATTAAAGATGCTATTGTGTTTTCATCTCACATCTTGTCAGTATGCAAATGATTCAAAGTAAAAGGCTGTAAAGTGCTCACTAGATTATGTATATGAAGTTTTCTGAAGTCCAAGATGTTAATTACATTTTCTTTAAAACAGTTCACTAAGAAAGCTTTCATCTTATTCCCATTTTGCTGAAGTTCAGCTATATACGGAACTACTAATAAAAAGGAGGTATTTCTTTGTCTGACACTTAGGGCATTAAAGTTTTGGCTATCTGTGTTGTACTTGAACACAGTATTTGGTAGTCAACACGATGGTTCTAAATCACGCATTTTTAGGATGGACTTTGAAACTGGGTCTTACAAGTTGTTTTACATCACGCGTTTTTCGACAAACATTTCAGAAAGATCTAATGGAAAGGATAATAACCTACAATCAGTAATGAAGTGTTAGACTGTAGTTCAGTAGACAATAGCGCATGGATTTTTACTGTAGAGGTTTAGGCTAGTTTTAAATAGAATGTGTTTTTGAGTTGATGTAGTTTAGTGATTCTTCATCTAAATGACCAGAAGTGGCTGACAAATGAAGATCAGTGTCATCTGAAGTCCATAGTCCTATTCCAATATTGGTTGTGTTTTTTTTCCCTTGATTCTTTGGAATGCGGAATAGGTTCTTGGAAGATAAGTGTATCTTTCATGCCTCCATCGTTAGATGTTTGTTGAATAATATTTACTGTTGTGTTATCCTGTTATATCTGTCGAACAAATTAACTTGTAGTTATTCATGTTCTACTTTTATTAAAAGAAAGTATTTTTGCCAATAATAAGTCAAGAATCAATAAATACCTTGCAACATAATTTTGCTTTTAACAGTATAGGTTTATCCTCACCACATTCTACAAATCTCATGTTTAGTACTTTGTTTTTTCTAATTTTCAGTGTTCATCGGATCTGAAAGATAAGGTGAGGAATGCTACTGAATTTGCTCTAAAAGATGTCATTTCTTCTCTGAAGAAGTGGCTTTTACCTTTAAATCCTCATGAACGATGTGAATTTCTGAGATCCTTTTGTCAAAGCTCTCTAAAAGCAAATGATAGTCCATCACTGGACTTACTGAATAGTTTATGGACCAGTATTTGGTATGAAACTAGAAAAACTTCTAAAACTGTTAAATCTGCCGTTGGTACACAAACACCTACACCGAAATCAATGTGGTTGAAGTCACACCAAACCAGACGTGTTGCGAGTATGGTTCAAGGTAATAGTTCAGTAATAAAAGCAGTAAGTTCATTTAATTTACACATTAAGTTCACAATTGATTGATCACTGGGTGGTGATCAATGTCATGCTTGTCTAGTCCTTATTAGTGCAGATCGAATGCTATCGATTATGTTGCAATGTGGCCACCAGTCTAAGTGACTCGACACTGCGGGCACTATATATTGAGATTTAGATGGTGGTTGGAGGTAGTCAACAGGAAACCCTGGACCCGGCTTTCGTGCTACTTGGCACTCGTCAGCAAAGTGTACCTGTAATCTTGAGGGAACCGGTGCCCCCTGACGGATTCGGTCTCGTGTCACCCAGCTTCACAGTCAGGGACGTTACCACTGAGCTATCCGAGCCGTGACTGACCTCCTGTAGGACTGAGATGTAATCACAATTGATTGATCACTGGGTGATTACATCTCAGTCCTACAGGAGGTCAGTCGCGGCTCGGATAGCTCAGTGGTAACGTCAGGGAGCACCAGTCCCCTAAAGATTACAGGTACACTTTGCTGACGAGTGCCAAGTAGCACGAAACCCGGGTCCAGGGTTTCCTGTTGACTACCTCCAACCACCATCTAAATCTCAACACATTAAGTTCACCCATAAAATCTACCGAACTAACATTGTTTCTTTGAGAATCTATTATCTTAAATCCCACTAAATGTCATATCTATCAGCTATGTCTTGTAGATACTTATGTACAATGCTAATGATAATAATTCCTTTTTAAATACAAATTGGATGATCAGTTACCATTATGCAGTTAAACTAATCTTAATGATCAAGAAACGAATATGTTCTTGACATTTATTTCTTTGAAGTGAATGTATTTGTAATCAAAGTTAATCGTCCTTAGATTTAATTCTGTACAATATTCCTATAAAGTTATATCTTTGTAATTCCAGTCATGAGTGATTACCTTAACATTTTGAATCATTTTGGTTGTCTACATCTTCTAATCAGGTCATATAGAAACTAACCCCGGAGGATTATAGTTCATTTTACTTTTGAAGCTTCATTTTTCTTTACTTAATGAACCTTAGTTTTTTTAATGTTCGTCTTAAAGTTTTATAGTATTCTTTACCTTTTCTTATATAAAATCAAATAAATATAAAAGAAATATTCTCTGTAAAACGTTTTTTATATTGATCAAAAATAAAAAAGTTCACGTTTTTGTTTATAGAGCGATCCGGCTTTCTTCTTCAATAATATTTCAACTAACTATCAATTTCTTAAATACAATCCAGAACCTTTCAAGTACCTAGTTTGATATTCATCAAGCTAGTTTATTGATTTCTCAGTATTGTTTTCTTATTCGTTGCACTAAATTATTATGGTCACTTCCATGGAACTAGAAAGATTTATTTGTTTTTAATGCATTATGTTCAAATTAAAACTATATTGATTACTATTTTTTCTTTAATGACTCGATACCACACAAATTCGTTTTTGGACAATAAAATATATATTCTTTGCTGAGAAGATATTCAACCTACATAACGTACTCATAACAGTCATATGTTTTTAGATTTCAGGTAAAATGGGAGGTTTCAAATCCGCTCGACGTTTTACCTTATCAGATACCAACGATCTTACATTATATAATGAAAATATATCTAAAGCTCGGATTGATCTCTCATCATCACGTTTTGTTCATCGTATATCTGATGAACATTTATGTGTTTCCGATTCTGAAAATACTAAACCAAGTTGGTTAGAGGTAAAGCCAAATTTACTTATTATATTGAAGCTTTATATCTATAACCTATTCTTTTTGATAATGTATTATTTTCTGAATATTTGACATATAGAATTCATAAAATTCGTTGCATAAATTCGATTTTCTATGTTTGTATTTGATGAATGTTATTCTTATAGTTTTTATTTTGAGTCTTATACAGTTATCTTTTGTGTATTTAAAAGTAAATAAATTGTACTTAAGAGACAAGGGACAGCTGTATTAACTCTTGTAGATTTAAAGAATTGATATTGAATATAAATATGTGATGTTATTCAATGAGCTAGTTTGATAAGTTAATATTAATAAACCTATATATCGTGATTGTTTACAGATTTATAGTCTTACACTAATTAATAGCCGTTTGCACGCGAGATCGAAGGTCGTAGATTTGAGTCCTGCGTGCGAAATCATGGATGTACATTACCGAGGAGTCCCATACTAGAACGAAATGGTTGTTCAGTGTTTCCAGGTTTTCAATGGATATCCAGTACATATAACTAGTTATCATCAAATTATGCTTTTCTATATCATATACGATGAATAATATTAATTTTAAGCAATTTATTTTATGCTTCTTTTTAGTTCATTAGACTTTTTGTCTGAGCAAAGCTTTATGACATGTTTGCGTTTAATAGACTAGAGTACAGCAACACTTTATTTTTTAGTACAAATAGTTCATAATATTCTCCTTGTTAACTTGTATTTGTGTTGTTATATTCCCTTAATTCAGACTGAATATTTGACTCGCATTCCTGCCTGGTTACCGTCTACTTTAACATCAACTTCTTTAGATTCAGCCGAAGCAGTCAGTTATAGACTTTATCGTCGTTTGTCAGGAATGCCGTTGTCCAAGGATTCCGAAGATGAAGTGTCTTATGGTCACACATCGTTTCAAAGAGATAATCATGATGTTCACATCATACATGATAAAGACCAGGACATTGATTATAATAAACTTGAAGATGATGAATTAGCTTTACTTCGAACATCACTTACAGATTGTCGACAATTGTTCATAGATAAACAAACATCAACGTCTAATTTATCCAATTATACTAGCTGGCTTTCTAGTCATCCGGATCATATTACCGAACAAGGTCTTAAATTTCTTAAATTAGGTTTCGATCTTCAGGTTAGTTAGTTATTTTACATTTTTAAAAATTTAATAATGACATTAATTGGCAAGAATGTAGTAGATTATTTAAAATGACGTGATCGAGGTACAAAATGTGCTCCTTAAACTATCTATCCTACAAATACTACCTGTTTAACATTTTCTGCCAAATACTATAAGTGTGCTATACTCTCTCTTTAATTCAGTCAATCATAAGCAACGTAGGACTTGTGCATCGGTTCAGTTTGCTACATGTATTAACATAGATAAAACTATCAAGAGAAATCTCAGTGTAGTAGAAGTTGCACTAATAATATCAGTGGTAGTAGGAAACATTAAGGATAGACAATATAATATGAGGAAGAATTAATTTGCGGAATAAAAAGATATAAGGTAATTTTAAAGCTCAAGATCTAAGAGAGATTGAAGAGTGAGTGCATCTGTCATTGAGCCCAGTTCTTAGCCATATCTCTTACAATTAATTACGGTAATTACGCGTTCCCTAAGTACCTACATTACAAAAACCAACAACCAGTGACTTCTTAAAGTGATGCCTTATCTTGATTTAAAATGTTCTTGATTGTGTTGCTGATTATTTGTCTTCTGTGCTTGGCTTTATAAGTAGAGACTCATCATTTTCTCTACTATGAAATCATTCAGTCATCATAACTTTAGCTTGTATTTAAATACAAAGAAGCAATGCAAAATCAGATCAATGTATTAATAGCCAAGCTACTTTAAAATTGTCATCCAATCATGCAGCACGTATTATTTATGTGTGTATTAGTTATGCATAGTACGTGTATTAAGAAGTGTAGATTTCTTCAGATTTTTCTGAATGTAAATAAAGATGTGATGTTGATTTATTTGGAAATAAGAACGACACAAGTCTTATAAAAATGGACTACTCGGTTACTTGAAAAGTAATATCGACCTAATCGTACACGTTATGAAATTTTAAATATTCTATTTAATTTTTGTACTTTTAATAGTTCAATTTAATTTTTTTGTTACAAGCATTACAAAACGACATAATAATAATAATAATAATAATAATAATAATAATATTATTATTATTATTATTATTATTATTATTATTATTATTATTATTATTATTATTATTATTATAAAGTAACCTTAGAAACAATTATCTCGTTATAAAATTGATTTGTGGCTGACTGACTGACTGATCTATTCAAATATATAAAAACGTTTTTCGAAAATAGATTGTCTTTTACAAAATAAAATCATTATATTGCAACCAGTATTCATACTAAGTTAGGTAAATCAAAATCGATAGCACTGCTACAGAGTTTCATTTACTCAAAATATTTAAAATCATATGTATTCGTCAGTTTTCGTCTTCAATAGTATCTCTCATTTTTTTAATACTTTACTTCTGTTGGTATAATTATTCTCACTGGCTTGTGCATTTTTTCTCTCGTCTTACTGATTTGAATTGTAAGAACTATTTATCTGATATCAGTATTTTAAAAAAGTCGATGTGGGTAGGCGGATTCAAGAGTCAGGATAAATGCAACAACTGATCGTATAGATAGGTGTCTTATAATTATAGTAATCACTACACCATCAGTAATAATAGTAGTTTACATATGCAATAATTCTGAATAGTATTTAGTTTATCTTAATAGAATTATGTCCTTAAGTTTTCTTTGGTCGGTATTATACAAGTTTTGTAAGTTGAAATACCTGTCTTTCGCTCTTTTTTAAACATTCTATATTGTAGCCTGCGAAAACTGAAGATATAGGTAAGTACTTTTTATCCATTTTATTTTATTTGAGTATGTTTATTCATCTTTACCGTCACCTTTTTTTAAATGGTATACAAAAACTTGGAACAGTAGATCATTTTTCAAGATTCTCTGGTACTCTTAGTTATCAAAACCTACATTTCATACATTTTGTAATAAAGCCGAGTAAATTTCGTTGACTAGTCATAATCTTTGTTCTTGGACTTATTCAGTTTAAGTTTTCTGTTGTTGATTTTAGTTGTTTCGCGGACTTCCATATCCTACAGTCACTATCATATATTAAGAGTGGAAATTGTGTAGTATTAATAAAATGTGCGTTAAATGATTAAAAATTTACTGTATGTTCAGTTAGCTTATCTCCCTTATCAAAATACTCTATTGACTTTCTAAAAGCATCGGTGGTTTTTTAAATTAACCTTAGGTTTAGAAATCTACTGACTAATGCCAGTCGGTGGTTTTACGTACTAAGTTGTAGTTTCAGTCATTTCTCTGATTAATTTAGTTTTGGCAATCGAACACTATTTTCTGTCTTCATGCAACAACAAGTGTAACTGAAAATCGTATTCACGAAACTGTGGGTATTCAATTATTGTTAGTGAAATTTATTATTTGCATTTTAAACAATTATTCACTGAGTAGTAGTAACTAATTGAATGTTTATTTTTTAGTCATTATTGTTAATTGAATTAAAATGTCGTCAGTTGTTCTTTAAGTGATTCGACATTTCACTGCTTTATGCTTGCATAAAATGAAATGAAAATTGAGTTATACAATCCAAATTGATTTATATTGTTTATGTGAAACGTAATATTGAGTAGGGTTTGTAGAATATGTGACTTCAATCTTCTTTGCTGTAAGACATTATACAGATCTTAATTTTTGTGATCAGACTAGTTCAATGAAATTCAGTGGTAATATAATAATCCATGCATGTTATATTATTAGAAAATATGTAGTTTTTTATGAGTGAACAAGTATACTATCATTATCTGACATGTGATCGAGACTCAGAATAAAAAGGACGAATAATTATTCTGATAGTCGAAATCACGAGTCAATCTAAGCTAGACCAACACTGAAAACCTGAGAGCACTGGATGACCGTTTCGTCGTAGTATGGGACTTTTCAGTAGTGCGCATCATCAGTTACCCGCCTCAGACAATGGATGAAGGGTTATGCAACATCATGGATTATTGTGACGTCTATACAAGCTCAATTCCATAAACTATAAACAGATAATTCACAATCAATGTAATTATCTTTGTATAGGCTTTGGAGGTGATTGATCTTAATAATTTTTCAAATAACGGTTACTACTTACATGTTGATCTTTATACAACTGTCTTGTCAATGGTTCCCAATTATTGTCAGCATAATGAACATGATAAAATCCAGCTTGTTTAATGTTGAATAAATACCAAGAATTTTCTGCAACATCTAGTGTTTGGGTCATTGTCTCTATTGCAATGACATTACTGAATGTATATTTTCATAAGTGAACATCATCGCATAAGAAGGAAAAGAGGTCAATGTATTATCATCAGTGTATGGAAAAACAAATAAATAATTTAACATGATCAAAATTTTTGAATCCAAAAGTATTAGGTTCGAGTCTTTGAGTGAACATTAACACTAGGATATGGCGAATACATCCAACTGCTGATAAGTTTCAAAGAGGACAAAATGTGCCTCCTAAATTCCACTGCTAACCACTATCCATCTTAATCTAAACGTCCTGTTATTTAATTAAAATTTATTGATTTAATAACCTTTTTACGTAAATTGCACGAGATTTAACCCCCTATTAAATATCAATAGTATATGGTAATGTAGGTCTATATTTATTGACTCCGTCAGCTAAGTAATAGTTAGTTTTAAATTCGTCTAACCTTCTTGAAATCTGCTTGTCAACAATGTAATAGATCTTTTATTTATTACAAACTGAAGTTCTAAAGTTAGTTCAATCGATGGCATTCACAAACATTTTAGTTTATGAAGCGCTGAGATGTCCATAAAATCAATCATATTTTACATGGTATTCACTGTGTATACATTTTCCATCGAGACATTTTCCCCGGGAATATTTAACTTCATGATCAATGTGACAGATTCTTGTCTTTCAAAAAAAGTCATCGAATAAATTCCATATTTCTTTAATAATGAAATATAATGCTACGCTACTTGTATCCTCCATTTTTTATCAATAGTTAAGCTACCAGAGTAATTTTATGTAAAAAAGATTAATTTATATAAGGAATGTTTATCATTTCACATTTAGTGTGAATTGATCTACAAACTAACTGTTTGTTAGTAATTTCATATTTTTATTCATTGAATTGCTAGTAAAAAGTAATACTTTATTTTTCGTGAATAATTCAAGTACACTATGAAATTCATAGTGTGCTATATCACTAATTATAAATTCTATCAGAAAAAAAACATTTCATAATTGTTAAAGATCAGTTATTTAGAGAACGGGTGTTATAAGTGTCAATTATTATCTATTTTGGATGTAGATGGGTATCCATTTTTCATCACGGGTAAAAAAAATTGAAAGTCAACAACTATACTTTTCTACTGTACTTGGTACTTTTAACAAAAATATGAATAATACTCGTAATTTTCTATTAGGAATATTTAATTGTTAATCTTCACCATCAACTAAATTTCTTTTTCTTTATGTGATTTCTCTACAATATTCTTGTTGACTCGTTACTTTTGCGTTGTTTTTTTCTTCACGATGATTCAATTAGTCCTATTTTAACCTTTTTTAGTATTATTCTTTTCGTTTATAAGCATCAATTGGCAATTTTTATTTTAAATAACATGTTATTTATTAAAGACCGATATAAATAGTTTAGTGAATATCTATTTTCTGTTCAGTCTTGATCATTCAAATTTATCTTTGGTTTATACTTGTTTCACCTTCACATAAAAACTTATTTCTTGTTATCAGTTTGTAACTGTTTATCGAGTTACATATAGTTATCAACAGCTCACCGTGACATGTTACATCTTTTAACTGAGGGTTAGGAATTTTAAGTTGTTTGCTTGAGAATTTGTGTTGGTAGCCTTTAGTTGTTACATTCTTCACACTTATTTGTTGGTTATTCGTCCATTTCGTTTTAATCTCTTGATACCGTTTGTGTTATCTCTCCCAGATATTATTATTTTATACATTCATTGCACTACACATAATTGTACTACTAATGTGTTATTTCATGCTCTATGTTCTCAGTTGATCTGTGAATTTGACCATAATTTAAATTCTTTCAGAATCAACTATACAACCGGGTTTTCATTCAAATATTTCCATTTTATTCACTGTGTATGACTAGGTGTATTTGAAGGTTTTACTTAATTGTTAAATTATAGAAATTAATGGACATCCCATGTATCAAAGCTTTTTTTAAACATGGTGTTCTCATTAAATATTTTCAGTAATTATTCTTTTAAAATATGCTTGTGTAAATGCTATTCTTTGTTATTACTTCAAGGTATGACACTAAAAATGACTAAATCAATACTTAATAACGAACAACAAAGTCACCCGTCTTTTCATGTTACATTTGATCTTGGCTGTACAGAAAATTCCAAAATAATGATATCAGACGAGTAAGTTTTGATTAAATCTATCATTGGAATTAAATATTGAACTATTTATTCCCTTATATTGGTGTTTTTCAGTTGTCTACATCTTATTTTAATATCCTATCCAAAGAGATAATGTAATGTTTCACAGTTTTGTTCCAAGTATTGGGTACATTACTTTTTCTGAGTATTTTAATCTAATTATAGGCTAATGGACATCCAGTCGATTGTAAATTTATAACTGTTCTACACCGCTTTTATGTGAGAGATTAAGAAACAAAGCAAAGTTTTAGGGTGGAATAAATTGAATATTTATGTTTTTATTCTGTGATTTTGTCGAATAACCTAATGTATTTATTGGTTTTGTTTGTTTTAAACAATTAGATCTTTAGTTCATATCCTTTTGCACATACTTTAATTAGAATATGGATGTAATATCTCTAGTTGTCTTACTTTTAACCACAGTTGTTTTAAGTAGACATATAGGTGACACCAAAAGACAAGAGTATGGAGTCGATACAGTCAGTCAAATATCGGACATGATGGAGGCAGTACTGTTGAAAAAATGTTGGTGGATTATTGAGAATAGGATCAGGTCTTGCTGACTAGGGGGAAACAAATTGATTTCTCACTGACAGCCTCATTATCTTGTTCTGTGTCAGTAAATACGGTGATTGTAATTAATCTTCATCTTGGCGTTCTTGTTGATGGTGAAACATGTTAACAAAGCCTGTCACCTAAATTAGTCCTTCGTACGATTGTTATAACAGCTTATGAACAGGGTCAACATAGGCAAAGATAAAGTCTCAAATTGTCTACTTGTGCTTCGAAACCACCTCACCTAGCTTATATGATCCCATTAGTAGTTTCTTAGATCTCAGTAATTGGGACGATGTCCTGTCGCGTAAGTTTCCAGGCGGTTAACAACTGTAATCGCTTCTCACCCGAGTTCAAGGTGTATTGTATAGCTGTTGCTCCTCATAGGGTGTCTCTTCGAGAAAATGTTCTACCAGGTTTCCCACCTGTACCACTATATTAATGTTGGGGATGCTAGATCCCCAAAAATCACTCGGTAAAAATCTTATTTTTGTAACCTTATCTTGGAAATTTGCATTTCTCGTTTTCACTCCAAAAGCGCCTATTTTTACTTTCAGATTGTATTTCCCACATGAAAGGACCCTAAATGTCATTGGTTGGTTGCCTCTTTTAATGTGTTGTTTCCGAAGAGCATTTTTATATTGTATATATACGCTTGAGTTGTGTGCTTGTTGTTCTTGTTTCTGGCTGCTTGTGGAATATACCTTTCTCTCATCTCAACCAAGTCTTTTCCCTCTAGTTAGAGGAGCTGGGGCGCATCGGAAAAGTTAACTTGTTTTGTCGCTATGTCGCTGATCTTTCATTCCGTTCGCCGATTTAGGTGATCTCGTAATCCCTTAAAACATAGCAATCGATCAGGAGCACATCAACCAAATGTTCCTAACGTGAAGTTTGCGGTCGAATAGCATAGGTCAAGAACTTTTTAAGCCTATACAAAGCATGTGGTATGTTTTTATTTTAGGGAATGTCTGATGATAGCGATGGTAATGTGGATTTATCATGTCTCATAGCGAATCAGAAACATTATTACGTACAGGATATATGACAACAATATCATGTATATAAAATGCAGCCGAAAATATAAAAAGTTTAGGTTATGATCACAAACGTTACAAACCTGAAGTTTTCACAAAAGTTTCTGTAAATCGAACGAAATTGTAACAATCAGTTTCATTAAACACTTACATGATTTATCCTAACCTTTTAATCCTTCCAGTCATTCTGTTATGTATGTGCATAACCTTGAGGATATGCGTATGATAGAACTTGTATCAGTATACTTGCATCTCTTTCATGCTTGGTAATAATCTTACTCATCATTTATTGAATAGGCACGTTTACTTTCTCCGTTTCTCATCTTTCATTGGTTGTCTACACTAAAAGATGTATAAAATACATGTATTCGTAGACACTCTCATATTTGACTTGCTTTATTCCGCTGCATGCAATAACGCGATTAAGTCAATAAAAGTAAAGCAAGTTAGTTAAGGAACTATATTTCATCATTCCTCATTGATATCAAACGCAGTTGGCCACAGACACACTTGAATCAAATGGAAAACGTAACAAAACAAATATTATCATATATGTAAATATGTTAAAAGTTAGTTTTAGAATAATCTTGAAATAGTCACACTACTTCATTAAATGCTTGTTCAGAATTTAAATAAAGACAATTCAACACAGAAATGACAGTTTTCTCTATCTTCTAAGTAGTTATCATTTGAATTTGTAAATGATTATTGAATATCATCAAATGTATTGCTTTTTCTTCGCATTCCTTGTAAGCTCAATAGAGATAATTAGTGAAAATTTATATTACAGGTAAATATTTATTATTCTTTATTAAGGTGACTAAGAATTATTATTATTATTAGCTTTATTCAATATTATAATTTTGGTACAATATAGAATTCTCAGCGCAAAGTATTTCAACAAGTTTCCGTTTCTTTCTTCTTGGTCGGTCCTCGCGATAAATATTGAGGAATCGCCAGTTAGATGTTAGCAGTCCAGTGAATGAACAACTGAATAATGTACATTCTTTTCGTTGTATATTGCCAGCAACCACATTCTCTCTTTTTGTGCTCTTTGTAACTTTGACAACGAAAGGTTGTACACTTTTCAGAAACGCAGCAGAATAGGTTATGCGATTAATAAACATAATGATATATTAAAACAAACAACAATAGATAACTTGTTGAAATATCTAGATGGCAGGAACAGGTAGCCCAGATGCTCAAGCAGGCCGTATTATGTATCAGTCAGTCAGTCAGTCAGCTACAACGTAGGACCAGGCACATATGTGCATCGGTCCAGGTTGCCATACCTCATTAGCACAGCAAGATGAACACCGGATTCATAGGAGTGGTTAGGTCAAAGGTTGCAATAAGGATATAGTATAGGAAGAAAGAATTAGTTCGTAGACAGAAAGAATGAAGTGATTTTAGTCTCTTAGTTTAAGGGAAGACAGGGAGTGTATACACCGACGCCATTGTGATCGATTCCGAGCCATGTCCCCAAGAGTCTCCAACCATTGGTTGCGAAAGTCACGCGGACCCCAACCAAGTAGTCTGCATCTACCAACGTGGCTCAGACTAGAAGTTAGTGACTTCAGGCACTGATGCCACGTTTTGGTTTGGCCGCCCCTAACTTTCTTCCAACCATCCCCTACCCCGGTTAGCATTGCACGTCGTGGTAATCGGTGTTCAGGCATACGTAATACATGGCCCAACCATCTCAGTCGATGAAGATTCATAACCTCATCAACTGATTTACCATCATTCCCTAATACCCTGCGTCTAACCTCACTATTACTTACCCGGTGATCCCAGCAGATGCCAGCAATATTTCTAAGGCATCTGTGGTCAAATACTAGTAACTTACGGGTGTCTTCTACTCTTAAGGGCCATGTTTCGCTGCCGTAAATTAAAACAGAACGAACTGCCGCGCAGTATACTCGTCCTTTTATTGATAGACGGATATCTCGCCTTCGCCAAAGGTGACGCAAGTTGGCAAAAGCCAAACGAGCTTTTCGAATCCGTGCTGAGATTTCGTCCGATACCAACCCATTAGGGCTGATCACACTTCCAAGATAAGTGAAGTTGTCAACGCGTTCGACTACTTCACTCCCTATCCTTAGTTCAGGTGTTGACGCAGACCAGTCCTGAAGCAACAACTTGCATTTAGAGGGAGAGAAGCGCATCCCAAACATTCTGGCATTGTTGCTTAGTGCTACCAGAAGACTGTGCATATTGTCAGCGTCTTCACCAAACAGGACTATGTCATCTGCGTATTCTAAGTCGATAAGTGGACCTCCTGGAAGGAGATCAATACCCGAGAATTCAGTCGACGAGAGTGTTATTTCCATCAATAGGTCTATGATGAAGTTAAACAAAAATGGAGAAAGTGGACAGCCTTGACGGACACCACTTGAGGTTGCAAAAGTAGATGACAGTTCGCCATAAGCCCTGACTCGACTAGTAGTGTTCGAGTAAAGAGCCTTCACAAGGTTTATGTACTTCTGAGGTACGCCTTTCAATGACAGACACTGCCACAGAGTCTCGCGGTCTACCGAGTCAAATGCTGCTTTTAAGTCAAGAAAGACCACCATTGTAGGACGCCGATAGGTATGCCTGTGTTCTAGAACCTGACGAATGGTGAACATGTGGTCGATGCAGCCACGACCAGGTCTAAAGCCAGCTTGGTTCTCTCGAGTTTGTAGTTCACGAGTCTTAGTTAGGCGTTTGATAATTATCGAGGCCAGTATTTTAGATACTATGTTTGTTAAACTAATCCCTCTGTGGTTGTCACAGGATGATTTTGACCCTTTCTTATATATTGGGACGATAAGTGATTGCGACCAGTCAGATGGGATAAAGTCTGATTCCCAGATCTTAGCTAAAATATTAGTCAACTTAATCGCTAAAATTGGACCACCATCCTTAAAGACCTCTGGAGCCAATCCATCTGGACCAGCTGCCCTTCCTCGTTTCAGATTAACTATAGCCTTTTGAACTTCAGCAAGAGTAGGGGGACCTATTTCAATGTTCCATTCACACTGTCTGGGAATGGAGGGTAGTTGTAGAGTAGCTGAAGGCCAGCTGAACTGTTCTCTAAAATGTTCCGCCCATCGTTCTAAACGTCTGGACTGGGAGCAGATGAGAGTATCATCTTTTTCCGAAATAATCTCACTTACACTTGACTTACTAATTCCAGTTTCTTTTATTAGTCTGTAAAGCTGTCTTGTGTTCCCTATAGTCGCCGCCTTTTCCATCTCTTTTGCTTTCGTTACCCACCACTGCTCACGGTCGTTCTTTAGACTTTTTCTTAACCTAGATCTGATTTGTTTTCGCTCTTCATCATGTTCAGGACCTGATGGGACGAGTTTGCGAGAATCCATCAGTGTGACAGACCTTGAAGAAATCCACTGGTTCCTTGCAACTCTGTGGTTTAAGTCACTAATAGATGTCACTGCTGTTTCCACAGCTGATTGTATGCCCTTCCAAGCAACATCTGGGTCAGCCTCGTCTTCACAACTACCTAAGTGTGACCTCAGTTGTTCCTGGAACCTACTTTTGGTTTTCTCGTTACTCAAATCAGTTCTAACGGGTCTTTTTAATGTGGCTTTTTTGCGTCCAGTGAGGCGCAAGCAGATGCGTGCCCGTATTAGAGCATGGTCGGAGTCCAAGCAGGTACTCCAGAATGAGCGACAATCTTCTGTCTATCAATAATGTTCCATGTTTCATTTAGTCTTTAATTATCACTTTATTATATCATTTCTTTATTAAATAATTAATTACTTATGTACATTTGTGTATGTGTATATGTGAGTGTACTTTTTTTACTCTCTCTCTCTCTCTTTCCCTCTCTATCTTTTTCTACTTTAGGACAGTGGATGAATAATTCCATGAAACCAAATACAATTCAATTATTGTTAATTCATCGAAAATTGAATAATAATTATAACATTAATTGGTTCAAACAATTTATTTCCAATTATTCACATGTTATTCGTGTTAGTTTTATAAAATTTACATTAAATTTCTTCTCAAAAATATAATCATTTTCCCTGTTGTGTACATCTTGTATTTTAGTTTGTTTGTTTATTTTCCCTTTCTGTATACGTTAAATGTTTAGTTCATTTATATTGATACTCTTCTGATTATACGTTACATAATCATTATTAGTTATTTTATGCTTTTCTTGTTGTTTATAATTTCACTTATTTCTTGAATTCGTCGTTGTTGTTGTTGTTGTAATTCTCTTTCTTTTTTCTTCTTTTTTTGTTTCATTATTTCACAGTTGTTTTATTATTATTATCAATTAGTTCTATGTTTGTTTTAACAATTTTTGTTTACATTTTCAAATCAGTAATTTCAGTTTTATTCTGTTTACTTTGATTGTTTATATTTTTTATGTTTACATCTAGAATATTTCTGTTTTATATTCATATTGTTAATAATGATACTACTAATAAAAATTTCATGTTCTGTCTTATTTTGTTTTTATTTTAAACAAAATATAAATCTAATTTTTATTTCCTTAATTGAATGTATCATATTGAATCACTATCATTGACCTAATTTAAAAGTTACATGGATGAAGTTAAAGGATAATGTAATATACATTGATGAAGTTCATGATTGGTTTATCTCTCACTAAAACAATACTAAGTTCATGTTTACATATTTCATAATCGATAATATTAGCATAATTAAAGATGCCAATATTGTTCTAGGAATTAGCAGTGATTTAATTTTTAAAGTATTTACATTTCAAGTAATACGTTGTAAAGTTCGAACCTTTCACTATGTACTCCATTTCGGACAACAGGGTATCAATGCTAATCATCACACAAACATTGTGATTAGAAGTAAGATAAATAAACCGATAACTGGTAAATCAATTACATTACACGCTAAAAGGTAGATATCTAATTTCATGTCATCGTATATTCTGTTTCCTATTGTTTTCTTTCACAGTTATGTTTTGATGTATGTTTATAGCTGTAACAATATAACTTAAAATTTCACTTTAGTAATGGCAATGTAAATAATCAATATTGTTGTTTTTTGGCACGTTTATACAGAAACATGTTGCATACGTCTTTTGGTTTAATGTGTGAAAGTATAAGTGATGATAGTTCGCACATACCTGAATGTACCAACTGGAACAATATAAATACTAGAACATATCCAAATATTATCTCGAAGATGGAATAGGAAATTCATAGATACTTCCAAACCAAAAACATAATTATTTACTAATCCCATTAACATTCCTGACAGTTGTATTTTTCTTTACATGGTTTCCCACAATTTTAAACTTCACCAAAACCAATTTTTTGCATGACACTGACCCACTTTGAATCTATGTCTTCGGCTTAAATCTTCAGCTTGATTGTATAGAAAATGTTGACATAACCCGAATTGACAGGATAAAGTCACTGAAGTAGTTCGAGTCCAATGCTCTCAAGCTTATTGTGCAGTTATTTTTTTGCTACTAATCTACACATCAAAATTTCTCTCTTATTGTTTCTTTCTTTACTGTGAAGCAATCAAACCATCATTTATTAATTATCATAATTATCTAGTTCGAATCGATAAGTTATTTGCTCATATAACTACTGTTTACATTTTTCTAGATGTCGTCTTATATATGATTGTAATGCAACGTGCACGAGTAAGTTTTAAATTTTTGAGTTACGTGAGTGACAAATGATTGTTAAGCGATATATTATAAACATTAATTCTCTGATTAAGTCAGACTTACATATTTCACTGATTTATGGATTATCCGTTATCAAAATAACTGTACTAAATTGTTTAGTCATTAGGTTTACTGACTACATTAATAACTTACCTGGCATGATTTAGTTACTTATAAATAAGAGATGTGATTGTCGCTCTTCTCAACGGTTGACTGATAAAGCTTCCAAGTTTTTTTATATATATATAGACTGATTTGTAACAGGGAATTCTACTCTCCGCTACTATTTGTTATTCTTTGTTCAGTTTACATAATGGAAATTACATTACTTAACTCCAAAAAGTGTTTCTTATCGCTTCAATTGATAAGGTCTATTTACACATATGAGTTATTTTGTATGGTGAAAACAAATAACCTTATGTTTATCTCACATGTTTGTTTTGCATAATCTATCAGCCACTATTTTTGTAATATATAAAATGATTGTCTAATCTGTGGTTAAACACTCAATTTAACTAACGTGAATCTGTATATTCGCCAATGTGTTAGTGTTGTTTAACTTCCCTAATGTTAACATTTATGAGTATGTTCAGTCTTATCTAAATGTGAAGCTTATATAACATTTTTAATAATAAGTTAACTGGATTTTTAGAATTAGTAAAAAGATAATTTTGTTTCAGAAAAAGGCTAAATTAAGGTTTCTTGTACTTCAGTTTATTAGAACAAGTACTAGATATTATTTAGGTTTGTCTTATAATACCAACTGTGGTTGTTTGGTGTTTTTCAAACTTCATTTCCAATTACAAAGTATTAGTTTTTATTTCAGATGGTCTAATTTTACACTGGAATGTATTCATAAACTTTCCCTAGTTAACTAATAATTTTGACTGAAAAATAAACATTTTTCTTTGATCATTATGACTGTTTCTTCTGTGTATTGAATAACTCTCAGAGAACAGCAGTAATTTCAATGTGATAGTTCGTCATCTTTTATAGAAGTTATTATCTAGATTATGGTTGACTTTTAGTGTAATATAGTTAGTAACAAGTTTAAAATATGTTTTATTTTACAGCCTTTTCTGTTTGTCTTTGTTGAACATTGCATAAATGGCATATATTTGATTATTCCATTAATTTACCTTTTTTTCTCTTTTTTTTGTTGGTATTTACAGAATGATAAACTAATTTTCCTTTTATGATTTAGGCCTTGAATATATTTAAAAAACTTCACCGTACATGTGAAAATGTATTTAAAGCTGATATCGAAACACTACAAGGTAAATTCCAATATTTATATAGTTGGTTTGTGAGTTTATTCACGTACATATATCTTCAGAATAATTTACAACTATCATGTTGAGTTGATGTTGTAGATTGAAGTATCACGAGCAACACACAGTTTCTTTTTTCTCAAAAATTTTACTTTCTCTGTGTTAATGTTTATAAAAAGTCATTGGAAGTTAATGTTCCATATATTCTTGTGATTACCTCTGAAAATCTGATATCCAACTGTTTATGAACAATTTTGTTTTACTCATTTCACTATTATTTAAACTATTGTTGAAAAGAAAAGACTTTTGAACACAGTTATGATACAAATTTATTTAGCTAAAGATAAATATTGATAATAAATAAATGGACGGATAGGTTGGTTGAATTTTCTACAAAACGATGAATGGATGATTACGTACTGATTCTTTTTATCAACTTTCTTTAATGAATAGTAAGAATTGTATTATAGATATTGGTTCAATGTACTTTTTAAAAACTGATATCCATTATAAAATCATTAAGGTTGAAAATGGTGAGTGACGATGAAATGATGTAAGATAAATCACAGTAGGGCATAGCTTCATTTATTCTCTATCATCATTTAAATCTTGATTCATTTATTATTTCCAACTTTCCATTATTCAATTATATTTGTTCCCTTTTCGAACTTTATTCTTCATGTTTAGATTTTCATTAGTTTTGGTGAAATTTCTCATCCTATGTTTCTTATCTTGTTTATTTCTCTTCTGTTTGTTCTGAAGTTAAATTTAACAACTTAGATCGATACACACTTTGCAGGTTGTGCACTAACATAAACTGATTGACTAATTGATTGAAAAGCTACTGAAAGATCATAATAAAACGAAAATGTATACTTTGTACAGTTGTGAACGTAAAGTGGAAAATGCTGTGGTACTTTACACACCAAACTCTGATACTTCAATTATATTAGCGACAAGTTGAATTTTATCTTTTGAACACCTCAACGTATTTTCCTCTTCTGCGCGACTTTAATTCGTGAAAGACTTTTGAGTGATACTTAAGTAGTCCTGAGAAACTCCAACCACTTACTAAGGTCAAAGTAAGTTTATGAATTCATGCAACGAATTAGTGTTAAAAGTTAGGTTTGGAATAAGAGTTAGGGTTTTTATTACAGACTTGCATCATTGTAAGAATGAGTTTTGCAAGAAATTTCGAGAGGCATTTTCGTCAATCTGGTTTGTTCGTCTATGAATTATAACGCCGCCGCCTTTGGGTGGTGGCATGTCTCAGAGTTGGTCACAGTGGCGTAAATGCTTTCGCTTTCTATATTCTGCCACATCTCAAGCTTCTTAATTACATTAAGTATTTGTTTTTTATTATATCGATCTATTTCTTTCTTTCCAAATTATTTCTTCTATGTCTAATATTTTTTACTATAATTTATGCTGTTACTATGTCTACTAATCTGGCAATTCGCTGTGCTGATGTGTTGTGGCAGCTCGAACCGGTTTACATATTTGCCTGTATCTACGTTGGGTATGATGTATGATATTTATTGCAAAGCTATTTATGATTACAAATAATAAGGGTGATATCACCGACTTCCCTGGAGTAGTTAATATATAATACTATACGGAGAAACTGGTTGAAAATTAAGTCCTTCAGTCTTTTTGTCTTTCATTCTAAATATCTAAATAGCAAATTTTGATATGGATAATCTACTTTATTATTAATCATTTATATGTATTTTATATGTCAGTTAAGTATAAATGTTGTCTTGTTTATTTATAAAAATATTTGTGCTTATGTGCGTGCTTGTGAATGTTTCTATCTAGCCGCCAGAGAAAAGATCAATTCGGAGTTTCGAGCTAATCGAAATGAAACTGATACTGAAAAAATAAACGAAGTGAGTCATTTGATATCAATTTTAGATCATATTTATGATTATTCATAGTGATTACTTTTTCAGTTATTTTTATTTCTAATGCTTTGAAGTGACATAATCTTATTGCTTTTAGTTTAAGTGTTAACCGAATGACAATCGGCATGTTAAGTGACTTTTTTTCATTAAAAAAAATATGTATTGTAATCACTGAACACTTGCTTTTCGTCACTAACATAACTGAAAATATTTATTTATGTTGTTTAATCAATGAACAGTGACCAATGTCACAGTTGCCTGGTTTTCAAGGTGCAATGTGGTCACTAGTCTAAGTGATATGAAATCGCCAGTACTATGTTTTGATAATAATTGATTGGAGGTAATCGACGGGAAACCCTGCAACTTGATCTTTAGTATTCGACTAACACTAAGGTTTAGAAAAAAAATGACATTGACCACTACTCAATGATTAGTCGTTGTAAATATCTCAGTCCTACAAGAGATGACTGGGGGACTGGATGATAAGCGTTCGAGTCCACCAGGGAGCATCAATTCTCTCAAGATTGCAAGTACAGTGTGCTAACGACTGCCAGCTATAGAGAGACGTATATTCAGGGCATCTTATTAACTGCTTTCAACCCGCGTACATGAAAACACATGTATGAATTCTAATGCTAACTATGTTGAGCCGTAATTTGTTTATCAAGATACTTAAATCTGCACCATTAAGTTAAAGGGTCAAAACTTACTTTAATGCAACTAGGTAGTATAAATAACTGTTATACACGAAACATTCATCCCAAAACTGAGTAAAAAAACTTGAAGTTGATTGCTCAGTTTTATTTGTTATATTAAACATTATTAAACTGTAACATTTCACTCTTTGCAGTATACAGCTACTGCCAAGGAAGTCCTACTGACTGCTTTTTCCCGGCGGTGTTGTTGTCTACGAAATTGAGAGGGAGAAAAGCGAATGTGTGGCTCTTTAACCGGGTTGGTGGATATGGAGGACTCACCTAGAGGATTGGGATACCCTGATTACAATCCAGTGGTACACGTGGGCTCCAGGATCCTAAGGGGACAAATAGCGTATGTACCAATTGCTGGTCACCGGCTGCCATGGGATTGTATCTCCTAATGTTGCTTCACTGCCTTGTGAATTAGACCTTTAGGTCAAAGGCTTGGTGGAGTAGCCCTCTAAGAAAACCGCCGTCTTTGGCTTGAGTGCCCGAGTAGTATTCTAACCCTCACAATAATCTAATGATTTGTGTGGCTCATATATATTTGGTGCCTTCTTGTACCAATATTTATGTGCTCAAATACATAAATAAATATAAATCCTTTGATCAAACTTCAGTTCATTATTTCTTAATGCCTAATGTAATTGACTATTTTCACATTTATTTCGTTATAATAAACAGTTTTCGTATTATTTATTTGAAGATGACGGACAGGAAGTTTCGTACCAGTTGTCACCCGTCAGTATTTACAAAGGAATTGATATTTTATCGTTGTATCTGAACCGCCATAATTCAATAACAAATTTAGAGATATTTTTGCCTTGGCTGTTTAGTCTATAATTTGTTTATTAGACTAATATTTTTACACTGTACATATATACATTGTTATTGTTTTATCTTACATTTTGTATAGTTATTGAAAAATGCAGAAGATTGCGAAACGTTAATACGAACAGCAGTTATTCAAATGGAACTCGTCGATGCTGAGAAAAATGTTTATAGTAGGTGGAGTCATAATAATATCTTCATATATTCGTATCATTCAGATAGTCAAAAGTGTTCTGTGCCCCCAAAATCCTTGGTACGGTCGAGCGTGGGGGGAGTTCGCTTTCCCTCTCGAAATGCTCTCACATGGCCACGCGCATACAGCTACTGCCAGGGAAGTCCTGCTCACTGCCTCCTCGTGGCGGGGGTGTTGTTTACGAAATCGAGAGGACGAAAAGCGAATGTCCAGCATTTTAACCGGGTTAATGGATATGGATTCCAAACTAATATTACATATGAGCTCTAGGATCTTGAGGGAACAAACGGCATATGAACCAATTGTTGGTCACTTGCTGCCATGGGACTGCATTTTCTTACGTTGTTCTGCTACCGTGTAGATCAGATCCTTAGGTGAAAAGCTCTGGGTGTGATTCCCTAAAAAAACCATCTGCCTCAGTCTGGGCACCCGGACAGTATCACATCCAACTCACAAATCAAATGATTTGTGTAGCGCATATGTATTCGATGCTCCTTTGTACCAATATTTACGTGTTCAAATAAATAAAATAATAAGTAAATAAAGTGATCTGTCTTATATTGCTTAATTCATTTTAAAAAATTGTCTAGTAATTAGCTAACTGAGATATATGGATGTAGATTCTAATCACTGTTTTCATTCACACTATTTACTATTCCACTAACATTTAGTCAATCATAAAAAACACGTGATCTGAGAAAATATGGATTGGTTTTAGTTGTCATAGTTTCAAATCAACGCAGCAGCTTAAACAAGTTGTGAAATGAATTATTACAGACAAAATATATAATTGATGTTAAGGATTCCAATATTTAGCATTTTTTCCATCATGTTAACTATTGAGTCCTTTTTTACATTGGGATTAAAAAATATCTGTATAAACACCCGGGCAGTAGAATTACATTCTGTTAGTCGATTGTGGAGATTAGTTCAATTTAAATGTATGTATTGCTACTGTTTGACAACTATGGTGCATTAGAAAGCTGTTTCATTCTATTTAGTAGTAGACATTTATGATACTATCAGGTACTGAATCCGAAATTTCCAAATCTCATGGTCACTCGTCCATATTTCCAACTTCTATTAATTCTTAGAATAAAACAATAATCCTTGATGATATAATATTGAATCGCGACTGAATAGTTCTAGTCAAGAAGAAAGAATATCTATCCATTTGTTCCCGGTTCCTGAATGTTTTTCTAGTTGAAATCAGTCTTTCATGAAATAGATCTTAGAAGTATATTTGTTTATATGAATTATTTCAGTGAGACTATTTAACATTTATGTTGTTTTCAGTTATAGTTTTCTTCCTGACCTTCATAAAATGAAATATAATAATCTTAATGTAAAACTAAAATTTTGATACAACAACTAATTTGTTTTTGAATGAACTTTTTATTTTTCTTTATAAATGAATTTGTTTTTCTTCTTTTATACAGGAATGAATCTACGTGAAGATTTAGCATATCAAGATAATGAACATTGTGTTAAAGATAAATAAAAACAAGCAAACATGAAAAAATAGTTTTATTATAACTTGTACCCTGTTTCCTATTAATGTATCACGTGATGATACAGCCAATTAGAGAACAGTGAATTACCGATCGGACCAATGACGCATAAAATCCGTACGAGCAGTCTAGAGTCCTTATCGGCCCAGCCTGTTAAGTTCAGAGCACCAATCTCAGCCTCTGTGATATGAATCATTTATTTCAAACATATTGGATTTACGTGCCAACTAAACAGACCACATCGTACCATAAAATATGAAACGGCATTTGTACAAGATTTGGCCAAATGTGGCTGTGAATGTGGGAGGTAGTAATTGATAGACTGGGTATAACTCAAGAATGGTAAATCGTATAATAACAGTTCATAGGTCAACATAAAGCTTATAATAAGAGGAACACGAATATGTGTAGTTTAGTCACTTAACAATTACACGACAAAAATATACGTATAATATTGGTCCATAAATGGATCCCAAAAGTTATCATTCATCGTTCTCATCGGGATATAACACTTCCCCTCTTTTTTTGAAGATCCAGAGTTGATATCTGAATTTTAAATTTTCCGAGTTCAAACTTAACAGCTCAATGCTAGTAAAATCAAAGCGGTTTATTAGAATTTTGTTTTATTCATATATTTTTTAGAAAGTTTAAACCATTTTATTAATTATTTGTGGATAAGAATTTATTTAAATTATTATTGAATTTATTAAACAAAATATTGCATTGTTTTTATTATTAAGTTAAAGCTCTATATCCTCTCTTATTCTAAGATATTAACTCATATTTAGTTCTTAATTGTGTATTTCTATGTAACAGGGTAGTTGAAACAGTTTGATATATAAACAATTGAGTGCAGTTGTTATTAAACACATTTAACTAGTGTAAGTAACAGCATTGAACATGACTTGTCCATCTTTGGATAGTACTAATTGGCTTTACTTAAACAGTTTGATTTAAAGCTAAGTCGATAAATATGTATTAGGTAAATGACTTACATTGATACTAAGTAGTGTTGTTCCCTAAAAATATTATATCACATTGTTACAAAGCAGAAAATGCTAATAATATTGTCCACTAATTTGTTTTCATTTTTATGATACTAAAGGTTGGAAAGAAAGTGCTTATGACCCTGAATAGACTCCAAACGTTACAATTAGATTTTTGAGTGATTTGTAGTTTCCGACTTGATTTCTTCTTAGAATGATGGTTCTTCAAAATGTTTTTTTGTATTTATTCTTGATTACTCAAATTTATTAATCATGTTTCGAATGGCTTTACTGTTTCTGATACTTTAATTATTCTGAACATTAAACAAATAACTACCCTGGCTTTCTTTAGACGAAGATCATTGTCATCAACCAAACTACCACTGACTAATACAATCAATATTTTTCTCAACTATTCCCAACGGATCATCATAAAATATAATCTTTTATCATATATATCTTATCCGTTAAAAACCATGGTCTAAAACACATATACTGTTCATCATCGTTTTAGTAATCGATTTTTGCCGACGCCAATCACTTTCGTTAAGGCGGTTTGACGAGTGTGATCACAAGCAAATGAAAGAGGATTGGTTGTGTAAGGCAAGTCTATGTAGTCTAAATTGTAGATTATAAATTATTGTTGGTGAACCTTCTGAGAATAATTTCCGAGAAAAAAATGTATTGAAGTCCGGCTAAATGGTCTAGAGGTAGTGTTTGTGTGCGAGGTCCAAGGTCGAGTGTCCGATTCTTGCTTTCATGGTCGTGGATTCTCACTGGTGAGTTGTCCCGTACTGAGACGAAATGGCTTTCCGGTGTTTCCAGGTTTTCAATGGCTGTCTAACTTTGACCGGTTCGTGATTGCAGTGAAGTTCAGTAGTCTCCACAACCCATACTGAGAGATCATCTTGACGAACCAGCTTCTGAAATGACTTTTCTATTCAATTCTACTAATCTCAACACGGGGGATTCAACATCATGAACTAGTTTTAGTACATGTTATTTCGAAGCAGTTAATCGAAAGCTTAGGAGACAGGTTAAATAATAGAATATAATTGTCATTGGATTTATAACTTGCCAGTTAGATGTACCTGGAACTATATTGGTGTTCTTAACAATTCTCAAACATCATGCCTATTGATCCATATTTCGCAGTTGTATATACTAAACTACTGATTTTTCTTACTCTCTGTTCAACAAAGTGTATATAGCGAATTATGTACATTGATTTTTGCTTTTTTTGTATAATACTGTAGCTGTGGCGTAGTGTCAAGTAGAGTTTTTAGTACTCAATAATGATTTAAAGAAATAGTCACGTTAGTGAAGATCCTTCCGATGAAGAATTTAGTTGAATCATATTGAAAATCTTGATGCACGGCCAAACAAAATAATAATTAAGTGTAATAATAGCCATAATGCGTAGTTTAATAATTTTATTTAGCCTTGCTAGGGTTGAAGCTATCATGAGTTCACTTAATCTGCGAGCGAGAAACAAGACTCGGTGAGCGTCCCAGCCCCGCTAACTAGAGGGAGAAGTCGAAGCTTGGAATGGTAAAGTATATTCTGCAAACAGCCAGAAACGAGCGATAACAACAAACACGATTCAAAACGTATGTGTACAGTACAAAACCGTCCTTGGGGAGAGTTACCGAATAGGATACTAAAAGACGCAACGGACCAGAAGCATTTAACATATTTCCCAGTGGGTAATACGACATGAAGGTGACAAGAGCGCCTTTGGCGCGAAAACAAAGAAATTCAAATTTTCTGAATAAAGTTACAAAATTAGGTCCTTTCCCAAGTGAGTTCTGGGGATCTAACGTCCCCAACAAGCCTCGCCTTTCTGTAAAATTAAAGTATATGGATGATAAACAAGGGTGTAAGACAAGTGGAAGTTAAAATTAATTTGCAAGGTTTATCAATGGACATGTAACTAGTGAAACTCATGGATAGAACCATTTATTTTTCCGTGTAAATATAATTTTCATGACAAACACAGCTTATTTATATTAGATCGTTCTCAAAACAAGTAACGCGATAAAAAATTGGACAAAAATCTTATTACAACATTCTAAGTGAATAAAATATTTTTCAAAATGACATTGTTCCGTAGGGAAACCAAATGTAGAAGTAATTTGTTTATTATTAACAATAATATCGACAACTGATAATTTCCCATGAAAGTATTTACACAGGGCATGTAGCTGACATCATTTCACACCGGAAGTATCATAGATATCCGACATGAAAGATTACTAGGACACTTTCTCTATCTGTTGCTAAAATCAGAATCACCACTGGGGTGTCTTCGCTGCTATGTATTCATAAATTCTGTTGGCTTAACAATTGAGAACCACTACAATTCCACGATGCTACTGCATACACTTGGGTATATAAGCCTTTGCAAATTCTATGAACCAAAAGGAAAAACCCTAAAGACTGGTTCAATGAAGATTAACTGGCTTTTGAAAAGCACGTCTTAACAATAAATGACGAGACTCTAATTTAGCGACGACCTTTGAACGAATCTTAAATTAGCTTGACAATTTTTAGCCAATCAGAAGACAGTATATAGTGAGAATATATTCTAAGTAATGAATTACAGTGGATATTCTTCTTTCGCATGATTTAAAAACTTAAGGTTTGATGAAGGTTCAGAGGCTCTGAATTCATAATGCATATTGTATAGAAACTCGTCCATAGGGTTGTAGCCTGTCAACAGACACCTCTTCTCTAAAATCCAATGTAAACCGATCGCATGTTAGCACCCTAACCTCAACCTAACCCTAAACCCTAATCTAACCCTAACCTTAGCCATAAACCCTAATTTAACCCTAACCTTAACCTAACCCTATGGACGAGTTTCTATACAATATGCATTATGAATTCAGAACTTCTGAGCCTTTATCAAACTTCAACAAGTTTTTAAATCATGTAAAAGAAGAATATCCACTGTAATTCATTACTTTCTTGTAATATATTTTTACTTTATACTGTCTTCTGATTGGCTAATAATTGAAATTGCTTAAACGCTTCTCACTGGCTCGTCCCTAAATTAGAGTTTCGCCGTCCCATCTGTTTTAGCCTCTCATTAATCACCTCTCTAAAATCCGCTGTGAACCGACCGTATGTTAGCATCGCGTGTTGAACTTGGCTCCGTGACCTTGAAATTGCTCAAACGTTTCTGATTGGCTCGTCGCTAAATAAGAGTCTCGCCAAATAAATGTAATCATTAGATTAACATACAATCCTTTGTATACTAATTTCTATACGTAGTAATAATAGGAGAAAAATCAAGGAGATACAGTAACAGCACACTGAATACAGCTTATCTGAATTGATACAGGAAATATAATTCACACTGAACGAAGTTCACATCAATCGCCCTGACCGAAGTTCATAGTGAATCGATACAAAAAATATTGACGTAAATCGTGTCATCCTTTTTGTTCTATCATATCACAGGATATCTAAGTTTACATTTAAGAGTAACTACTTAACAACTGGATAATAAGTTGAGAGATCTGACTAATCTATATACATTTTGTTTTAAATATTAATAGAATTCAACAGTAAATATATGACTGCTATTATGTAAGTCAGAATTATTATACAGTGTGTAACAACAACTGGGTATATCTCATTCATAAGTAAACCAGTGTTCTCAATTTAACCTTCAAATAATAGAATTTAAAATGCTCAAATAATTTACACGCATATGTAAGTTATAGCAAGAAAATATCAGTTATTTTCATTTCATATGGTAATTTCTCATAAGGGAATTTCAAACCATATTATCATTTATGCATACATTATCAGTGACCTGAATCAGAACTGATTCGAACAATGTAGCGTTTCCTTAACACCATCATATTCATTCCGACACAATATAAGCATACAGAAACAAGCAATGGAATGACATTCAAACAACGAATATCATTAAACATTAATGCAGAAACAATTGTCTGTGTATCCTCAATCTGACCTGAACATGACAAGCAATATGTGTTTTGTTCTTTT